CAAAGTGTGCAGGGATACTCGAGCACATGGCGAGACAGCTGGTTTCATGGCATCTCCTCAGAAGGAACCACGTTAACGTAATTTCTCTTTTATCCCTAGTATGTGTGCGCATCCTTACATAAGTCTTTGCCAGTGCTTCCGGAGTGAGGGAGTGAGTCAGCTAAAAAAGCCAGGCAGGCTCAGATCAGCACGGGGATGCTGCAGGAGATATTTTATACATGAGGTCGCTTGTGCATTGCTAGAAATGTGAGAGAGCTCCTTCTGTGTTGATCAAAAGCATTTCCCCTGCACTGTTTTAGTGTTTTTACTCCTTCAGTGCATTGATCTTTGTGGCTGATGAGAGTGCGGAGGGGGGGGGGGGGGGGGGGGGGGGGGGGGGGCTGATGTACCCACCCTCCAGTGTTCATTATTGATGACACTGAGGTCAGTAAATGACTCAGAAATAAGGTGGAGATGAAAGCAGGGGATGGGTGTGGTTATATTGCAGAGAGCCTGTTTTCTGTTTGCTCTTCTTGGAGTCCCTGTGGCTGAAGTGATGGACAAGCACTTAAGGAGACAGAATGACATTGCCTTGCAGAGGAAGGTAATAGGGAGCAGCGTGTCACGATGCATTAGGGTGAGCAGATAGATGGACTCAGTTAACCCGTCCAGGATTTGTGACCCAGCCACATATTGACCAAATAATGAAACGGGGACAGAAAAAGAAAGTCAGGCGGATGCTGAGGAAGACTGACAGAAATGAAGTAATTTAAGCAGCTGGCTGACAGGTGTGAACAGCGCACTGGAGCGGGGTGGGGGGTGTTGGGGTGGGGGTGGGGGGTCGGTGGGGTGCAATGATCTACTTTTGCGGGGATAAAAGAGAAACAGGAGGACACATGGGGTGATGGATTTGTTGTTGAATGAAGATTGACATCTCACTGATACAGCCTCTCTGGACAGACAGCATGTGACCTAAACCCCAGAGAGTGCAGTCGCATCAGGAGCAAATTTAGCCGAATTCACACCGACACCATCAACACACATTTTCTGTATGAAAACAAACGCCAAACTGAAGCTTCACTGGCTTTTTTTCTGATTTTCGCCCTGCCTGTGAACGTGGTGTTATTGGGGCGCCGACTTGCCCCAGAGGTTTCAGCCGGGGAGCAGGGTGACAGACGGAGGATGTTAGCGCATGGCCGGGGGAATCACGGCCGTGACAGCCAGTCATTGTATTTCAACGACTGATGGTATCATGCTGTCATTGTGTCAGTGTTGGGAGCAGACCCACAACAGATGCTGAACAGATAATAGAAGCTTTATCTCTGGATATTCACTCTGTGACACACGTCCGCATGTGAATATGAACAAGGAAAGCGTCTCAGGTGAGCAGAAAGATATTAAGATCCAGTTTCATATCTGGAATATGCTTTGTCAGTGTATGTTCAGATGAAGAAGTAAGATTGGCGTCGTGTGTTATGAAACAAGAAAGCATTTCCTTTGAGGAGAAATCAGTCTGTAAGTGAACGTATGAGTGTATTAACCGAGGCAGACATATTTCTCATTGTGCTTGTAAGGTCGCTGCTGGGAGTCTAATGTATTACATTGTGCACCTGCAGTTTTCATCTGACTCCATTTCTCCAGATGGGGGGTTTTCATTATGGGATCCTCACTTGGTGGGCAGATGAAAATATTAGACAGTGCATACATGAAGTGCAATAGAGGTATTGCTATCATAAAACTGCAGCCTGTCACACCTTGTGAACCTTGAAGTCTAATTCCACCCTGCAAATGATTTTCAGCACTTTTTTTTTTATTCACACAGGCAGAGCGGGGGCGGTTAGGGACGGCAGTGTTGGTCAGTCCACCACTTTGGTCCAGACTGAAATATCTCAACAACTATTGGATTACCATGAAGTTAGACACGATTGAGCCTACTGACGATCCTGTGATTTTTCCTCTAGCGTCACCAGGATGTTGTGGTTTTAGCTGAAATGTCGCCCTCAAGATAAATTTTTATAACTCTGTGACCCTCCATGTAGTCAAATCATCAGCTCAAAATTTTAGTACACCCAATACTTCCCCTCAGCCTCAGCTGTTCTTTGTACACACTAAACTCAGATGGTGAACATGGCAAACATGACACCACGACTGTCCACCCAAGAAAAGTGACAAAATGAGTAATTTCAGCAAGTGCCCCAAAACAACTTAAATACAGGACCTCAATGATGATGAAGGTCCAATGACTTCGTCAATGAAGTTCTAATTTTAACCCCAATCACAATGTCTCCTTAAACCTAACCAACTCATTTTGTGCCTAAATCTAACCAAAGCTCGGAGGGAACAGACAGATGATGTCATCCTGCTGATGGGGGCAACAAATGACGTATTTTTGTCATTTCGTTTGGGGGATTTGTTGTTTATACCTGCTAATCATCAACATGTTAGCATTGTCGTTGTGAGCATATTAGCAGGCTGGTGTTAGCGTTTAGCTCAAAGCACTCTGGTGTCTAAGTACAGTGTCACAGAGGTACTAGCATGATAGTAGATCTTCATCTGTCTTGTTTCAATGTGAAGCAGTGTTTGAGTCTTTTCTTATGTGTCCAAACTATTAATCACAAGGCAGCAGCGATGCCTGTGACAGTGACTAAAAGAAAACAGGACACTGGGGGACGCTTTTGTTACTTAGCTGCTGTGTGTCTGTACCAATTGAAATTGATTGATTCAGCCATTCTGAATCAGTTCATTTCCATTTTCTGTTACAGGCCTCAAGCCTCCCAATGTGGTGCTTAATGCACCAATTTACCATCCTGTCTCATGCAGGGTCTCCCTGACTAAACAATTCATAACCAGCTAACAGGCGCAGGATTTTGTTCACTAATGGAATTTGTCCATTCATAAACAAATCTGTAAAATTGCTTTTCTGGCACGTTCTGCTAATTAAATGAAAATGACTTCACTGGATATCATGGGATTTTATACTTCAGAATACTTGTTGTGATGGATAAAGAGTATATCTGATCAAGTGTGGCAAAGACCCAGACTCAAGTATCATATGATGTCACTAATTATTTACATATCAAGAATTAAATTGTAAGAGTTTCATGATTTAAGTAGCTACATCTGGTTGGAAATGGAAGTCTGCCTGTATCTAATGGTGTTTTTCCACCTGAATATGTTCAATTGAGATTCTTGCAGCCAAAACATATTGGTTTTGATTGGTTGAAATAGTTTTTTTATTACCAACAATGATTAATCTATTGTATATTAATCATTAGTCCAGTTACACCAACACGCGTCAGTTTTTGACTTCTCCCATGATATCAAGATATTGAAAAACACATTTGTTTTTTCAGTTGGAAAATCATTTGTTAAAAAATTTGGTAATTGCAGAGAGGAAAATTGTGTTTTGAGAAATTTAATGTCTTGTGTTCCAAGTGTATGTTATTGCAGCAATGATTGAATGGACTATTTAATTTTCTCTACAAGCAAATATTTGGAGAGAAGCTCTGGTCAGGGAGGTCCTGGATCCCCTGAGCGGTTTTTGTTTATCTAAGAGAGTCAAACTCATCACATCACTTCATCTGAATTCAGAGACATTTCAGAGTGTTCCAGACATTATTGCACTTGATTGTTTGAGAATGTTATTTACTGAAGTCAAGAGCTTCCTCAGATTTCAATAGTGTTACCAGGCAGTCAGGGTTTAACGCAGATTCACAGAGGGAACGCACAGTGCAGATCTGCCTAATCACCAGATGCCTGCTCTCTAATGCATAATGCATCAGACTGTTATTACAAGTCTGCAGGGAAAACACAGCAGTGATTTACATTAATATTTCATCAAACCCCTGTGACATCAAAGTCTTAATGGAGGAGACCCTGTGTGTGGGTGTGCGTGTGTGTGTGTGTCTGTGTGTCTGTAAATGTGTGTTATTATTAATGAAGTGGACCCTGGTGGCCGGCGCTTGGCCTCTATCGGGGTGTCAGGTGGAGGGGTGATAATAATGTGTTAAGTTAGTTTAAACTCAAAGAACAGACAGACAGACATTAAAAACAGGCTCATGAATGAAGGGGTTTACTAGAAAAGCAGTGAGCTCTTTGAATCGCACAAGGCGAAGGCTTCAAAGACAAGACATTCAGACGTCCTTTCATACATTCAGAGTCTGAATGTATGAAAGGATAAAGAGTTTGCTCCTTGTATTCCAGTCCTGCCTTTTCTCTGTCTGTCTCATTTTCTTTCAGTGAAACCTCTGTCAGACTCAGCCTTTTCTGATCTCCATAATTTGAAGACGAAAACAATCTTGACAAAGGAAATTATGAAAAATAAACTTCTATCAGAAATTATAGTAACAGTAAATATAAGTGGCAGTAAATTTTGTAACTGTAAACTATAATAACAACAAACCACCGCTCACATACTCACATATTCTCAGCTATTAAAAGATCAGAAAAAGATTTTTAAAAATGCTGTCTATGCATTTTCTATTTGTAAATTTGCAAACAAGCAAGGATGCAATAGGTAATACAGTCCACCCACCCGCACCTGTAAAGCTCAGTTATTAACACCTCATGTCTGCTTTGTTTAATACGTTTCCAGTCCTGTTTCCAGTCTTGATGCTTAGCTAAGATAACCATCTCCTGGCTCTAGACTTGAGTGTGGTATTGATCTTTTCATCTAACTCTTGGCAAGAAAGCAAAGAAGAAAATGTCAAACTGTCCTTCAAGAAGGTTATAATGTTCACAGAGGTGTTGATTCAACTTTATGGTAATTTTGGAGGCTGCAGTTTGTGGTGTCGTTGGATTACACTGGATTAGTTTCATCCAGGTGTATCTAATAAATTGGCCACTGTTCTATTAGCATCTCATCCTGCCGTAAATGAAAATTGTCATCTACTTTGGCACAATGAAAGAGAACTAACAGACTGATATCAGCACTAACTGACTCATCAGGCCACCGTATCCTTAATACGGAAGCTGAGTGACATTTTCCACGTCTCTGACATCAGCTCTCTGTGTCTCCTCAGATGACAGTGCGTCAGCAGCCAGCAGTATGGAGGTGACCGACCGCATCGCCTCCCTGGAGCAGAGGGTCCAGATGCAGGAGGACGAGATTCAGCTGCTGAAGTCGGCCCTGGCCGACGTGGTCCGCAGGCTCAACCTGTCCGAGGAGCAGCAGGCCATGGGGTCACGCAGAGGACCCACCAAAGGTAACACACAGCACAGGTGCTTGTGTTTTGTGATGAGTTTAAGAGCCAAGAGGTTCTCTGGTGTCACACTTCTTTTGACATTTACAACACACGCACGCTGGCTAACGCACCCGTTTTTGGTAGGCATCCTTTCTGTCCTTTCCCACTGTCCTCTCTCTCTAGATGATGTCTCCTTCAAATCCTGTTTTGTTCCTTTTTCTCTGGCTCACTAGTTGTCGATCTCCTGTCCTTTCTTCTCCTGGACTGTGTCGTGTCGTTAAATGTATTGTATGTTACATGTATAGACCCTGCTTTGATGAGAAAGTCTCCCTCAGCAGACAGCAATGTTGGGAAGCCAGGTAGGCCGACTGTGTATAGTCTCTCTGCACTAACCAGGCCTGCTGTCGTTTGTACAAGCAAATACATTTCAGTCACTGCCTGCTAGTACTGTGTTGTTTATAGTATAGTATTTCACCAGGAAACAGACTGTTACTGTCAGTACTGCACTGCCTGAGGTCAATGCACTGTGATCTGAGTAGATAGAAATAATATTGTTAACCCGAGGGAAACACTCAACATACTTCTTTTTAGTGTTTTTGAGTCCAAGAACTCTATGATAATATTAAATTATCAATTGTGGGAATAAGTTGCTAAGCGCATGTTCTGTGTAAGTGTCTGTGTGCAACATTTCTGTTTAAGGACAGTTCCCCCTAATAGATAATGAGCTGTTGCTTTTGTTTTATTCCTAATGAAAAAAACTGCCTCAATATCATTTAAGGTCACATGGACATAATACCAGAAACACCTAAAAATGCAACACAATCCACCATAAACTGCAGCCTTGGACTGGAAGTTAGAAGTTTTATATTGAACAGACAGAAATGGTGTGGTGGTTTCGATCCTCTCATCTAACTCTTGGCAAGAAAGCGAGTTAGCAATTTCCCCAAAGTGTCAAAATTTTTCTTTAAGTTAGAGTTGAAACCAGAGGTTGGAGGGTGAAGTCACTGTGAGAAATGTAGGAAAGGGACCTAACGACAGTTAAAAAGCAGCACATCATCACAGAATAAGATAGAGCTGAACATCATAGATGGAATGATGATTGGTTTTTCCCATGTTGTGTTGTGTGTAATGGGTCGATTTGCAGCTGAGGTGTGTTTGATACACGCTGTCTTTCAAAGAGTATCTTCACCCCCTAGAAGCTGATGAAGTCTGCATGTGAAATCATTTGCACTTTATGCAGGGTTTTATGCGCAAACGTGCATTTCAGTGATGAAACAGAAACAGATTAAGAATCTGAGCGGCTGCCAGGCTCAGTCTCCGGAGTGACTCTGGGTGGATGGAGTTTCAGTTTGATTTGGGAGCTGGATGATGATGACTCAGACTCTGAGCTGCTTTCCCTTATTGTTCTCCACTTTGAGCTGCAGGGAGCCAGCAGCCTGCTCGCCTCTGCTGAGCCACAATGATCTGCTTCGGAAAGCTTAATACATGCACGCAGTTTGCATAAAGACAGTCATGGACACACAGAAACACACACATTCATCTTCTCTAACATGCTAACAAAATTACAACCTCAGTTTGCTCCTGCTGTGTAATTGCTACATGAAAGATAACAGAGCAAAATGTGTGTTTATGTCTGAGTGTGTGTGTGTGTGTGTGTGTGTGTGTGTGTGTGTGTGTGTGTGTGTGTGTGTGTGTGTGTGTGTGTGTGTGTCTCTGTTGGATGAAACGGTGTCTATTAAATATTTATCACTGCAGATAAAGCTGCAGCTTGGATTTGTTATTCTGGGCTTGCCTAACTGGCATGTGTGGTGTGTGTGTGTGTGTGTGTGTGTGTGTGTGTGTGTGTGTGTGTGCATGCACCTTTTGTGTTGTCGCACCACCTCCTACAAATGATATGTGAACATGAAGCATCTATATAAATTAATAAATTGAAGTAGACGAACAATATTCTCAACAAAGGGAGAAAAAAAACGAAATTGAAAATCTTAAATTATGTTAATTCAGATTTGGATCACAGACTCTACAGACAGTGTATATGTGTATGTTTGTTATTATGTCTGTTATGTATGTGTGTATCTCTTTGAACCCTCACTGAAGAGCATGATAGCATCGCAGAGGGAGTATTGTATATGTGCGTCATTCAAGGCTGTTACAAAAATGGATATGCTAAATACAGTATATCAGCAACAAATACAAACTGTTAAGGCTCAAATTTAGTTTGGTATTATCACCAGTATCATTATAATCACAGTCAAATGGACTGGACACAGTGATAAATACAAATTTGTTACGACTGAATGTGGAGAAAGCTAAAACAAAACTTGTGTTTCTTATGTGATTATTGTGATACTCATCACATTTTCAATTTTTTGGCCATAATTCCCCCTGACTCAAAGTTTCCAGTGCAACAGTGCGCTTCATTAGCTCAACAGCACAACAGATCATCTGTGTACTATATAACTAAACCTGCACACCACAACACTCTCAGTAAAACCAGATTTCCTTATTATACTGACTGAAATAACAGCACATGAACCAGTGCATGCTGGGAGGCTTTGCACTACACCTACCCTCCTGGGACTCCACAGCGTGTCTAAATACAATTTTATAGATTATTACTTCATCTCATTTATTATCACAATTATATTATACACCAAGGAATGCAACCTCCCTGACCAGCATGCTCAGATGTTACTTTAATGTCACTACAGCAGCCGATGCTGATCCCAGGCCAGTATCGAGCTTTTTTTTTCTTTTTTTTTTCTCAACATGCCCTGCTGTTGTCCTTTTTCTTCCAGCCAGGCCAATGATTGCCACCCTGCCGTTACGGCCCACAGTAAACAACGGGACCATCCTACCAAAGAAAGGCAGCGGCACTCTGCCCTCCCCGTCTGGATCTGGATCCAGGAAGGACACCAGCGCACCAGCCAGCAAGAGGTGAGGAAACTAAAAACTAAAACATTGTAAGTGAAATAATTTGGGGTGCAAGTTGAAGTTGAGTCCTTTCTGCCAATTTCAGAGGAGACCAGGTTGTTTTCCTTTCCAGGCATTTCATTTGTCTGGAGACATTTGTTTTGTCTTTGCCATGTCAGACAACTTCAGCCATAAACCGTCACATTTCAGGCTTTTTATCAGCCGAAGCCACTGACATTAAACAAGGCTGATAAACAGAGACATAGTATTCTCATCGCCACCTCTGCTTCCATGCCGTGTGTGTGTCTGTGTGTGTGTGTGTGTTTACACATGAATGTGAAGCACAGGTTATCAATCTTGTCTGTCAGGGGAACAATAGCCTTTTTCCCATGTCTGGATGACATTACCATAATCAGATGAAGCTCAGCAGACAGCGGGGACCAGCTCCAGTCCAAACAGATGTTAACTCTCCTGAGGTGTTGTTTCCTTGTTTTTCCATGTGTGTACTTTTATTTCTCCTTTGGGGATATTTTAAGACAGTGAGAGATGATACTTTCTCAGTGCTCACTGACTCTCACCTTGAGATTTACTGGAGAGGACAGTAAAGAAATGGCTCTGCAGATTGAAATATAACCAGTACGAGGCTGGTGGATAGAGACAAACATCAGACAGAACAGTACTGGTGCAGGAAATGTGATTTGGTTTGGTGTATTTCCTTGTTGTACTTGGAGTTGGCTTGTATTTCTCTGACTGGTTTCAAGCTTAGCTGACTCTTTCTACTTTGTTGTTTCTTGAACTTTGAACTGGTACACAATGACCATTGAATTCTTCATAAAGAAGAAGTACTGAGGTCATAGGCCCCCCCAGCAAAAAATTTCCTCTGAAAAGATCTCTGAATTTCATCTCAGTTTTCTTTAGATTTTCCTCCATGTACAGTATGTCTAAATGCTGTAGTGCTGTTTCAAAGCCTCCACAAAGCCTGGAACAAATCCAAGTGGAGAACTACTAAATTCTTCATTATTTTATCTGTTTATTTGGCCTATAACGGGTTGAATAGATCGAATTTGAAAACATTTAATTCAGCCAATAAAATACCCATTCTGTATGTGTTTTAAATCTCCTCCGGCTGCTCACAGAGCACATGACCTCTGTCCTCAGTGGCAGCCAGGCTCTGCTAAATGGAGCTAATATGTTTTCTTGCTGCTGTCCTAAATGTTTGGGTTTGAATTTAGGTGTCTCCCCTGTTTATCTTTGCGGGTTGTGTCGTCTGTCTTTCCCACCTTTCCTGTCTGCATGTCCGTTCTCTTGTATTGTCCCTCTCTGATAACATGTCCTTTCCACTATGATGTTATATCCTGTTTATGTCCTGTCCATCTACTGTGTGATGTCCCGCCAGTCTGTCCAGTTTGTCCTCTCTGTCTCGCTCTACCAGAATTCTCTATCTGCCCCTGAGGTGAGAGCGTCACCGAGTTACAGTATGTCACTGGTCACGATATAACATCATCGCCGCATCGCAGTCATGATGCATGTTAACCATCATCTTCAATTATGATTGTAAATCAGTCACCAAACTACATGAAAATAGTGATATTTTTCATGTTCTTATCACCATTTATCTCATCTGTAACATTCACTTTATGTCGTGTAAATCATCGATCTTTGCAGCAGTATTTGTGTTGTTCACTGTCTCGATCTGGGATTAGTCTAAACTGCAGATTGGTCACAATCCCATCAGTGTTGGCACACACACAACAGCGTTCCCCAATGCCCTGTGGCCCAATTACTATGATTCCTCATGGGATAACACAGCAAACAACAGTCTCTCTCACTCTCTTTTTTTATTCTGTTCTGCTCTTTACTGAACAAACACATGCAGGCTCTCCAGAAGGGATAACAGCCACCAGCCAGTTTCAGGATTTGAATAGACTTTTCTCCCATAGGGTGGATTAGGTGACTTTGCCTACTGGCCATTGGATTGCTGATGGGGCCTTTTCATTGTTGTGAATAGGCAGGCTGTCTGCACCACCAATATGCAGATCTGCACAGGTCTGCACTGATGCTGTAGTTGTAACCACCACAGGGGAGTAAACAGAGTGAAAGTGTGAGGAAATAACAAATATCCACATTTCTCTGATACTGCTGTACAGAGTCACACAGTTTAAGAGTTCTCTTGAAAATGCTATGCAATATTTAGACAGATCTGAGCTGAATCATCAAATAAATATGTGCTTTCAAAAGCTGTTTCTTGGATGAAAACTTTTATCAGAGGGCTTTTTTAGGAAAGCATCGTCAGGTAGTTTTATGACCCATTTCTTGTCTCCCCCCCCCCCACCTCCTCTCTGTCACTTCCTCCTCACCACAGCACTGTGAGGAGAGCCAACTCAAATGAACATGTGGGAACTCTTACGCGGAAAGATTCGGGCGACTCCAAGGGCAACCGAACTCGCGCCGGATCCACCGGCAGCAATTCCAGCGGCAAAAGAAGTGACAGGTAACATGGACATAATGTAATTGGTTTCCCATTCAGTGCACACACGCATATTGTATGTGTCACTGACACTGTTCCAACAAGATAGCACTGTGTGTTTTTATTAGTTTTTTCTAGATAACACACTGCTCTCCTTAAAAAGCACTTTCAAATCAATGACATACAGCAGATGTGGTTTGCTGATTGACAGCTGTGTGTTTACTCATTCACTTTGCAGCAAACAGAGGGATCCAGTGTTCAATGCAGGTAAGACCCAGAGGCTCCTTTATGGCTCTGTAGCCTGACAGCTGTGATAGTTTCCATGCTATGATACAACCCACTGAGAGCCATCACACCAGATGCTCAGTGGTTCTCTGTGTCGAGGAAAAACTGTCAAAAATGAAGAATTATTTATGAACCTTTTGTTTATTCCCAAAATGATGAAGGGAAATACATGTTGTCAATTATAGTTTGAGTTAGTGCCTTGAACTGTTTCCTGCACACAGAGAACAGCTCAGGACTTCTTGAATATCAGGGTGAAACATTCATCCTCTCCATGATCCATTCTTTAACCAGTAACCAGCCCACCTCATCCATTACTGCACCTTCACATCCAAATGTCTGTTCGTCTTTTTCTTTTTCATACACTCTCACTGCATTGTTGAAGTTCAACTTCTGGTTGCAAAGTTTTTTTTTCTCGTTAAATTCAAGTAAAGGCTAAGTCCTATATTTTCTCATCATTGTGGCAGCTCTGCTGTGTAGAGACAGAGCATCAGATGCTAGCGACTGAAATTATCTCTTTGAAACTGAAACGTATTTGGAAAGCTTGAGGAAGCTCACCTTGCTTCTCCCAATATATGGACAGTCCTTCTTTGGAGTCCACTTTTCCTGAGGTTTTGAGTGTAAAGTTGACTTGATCCTTAGTCATAATGGCTACAATCGTACAATAATTCAGAATTTGCCTCTAAGCACTGACACCTGAACACGGCACTCTGCAACCTAGCCAGGACCGTTTTATTTATGTTTCTTATCTTTTTTTCAAGCAACGAGACAAACAAAAGAAAGAACTAAAGGCTTCTGAAAAAGGCAGAGAATGAGCCGCCCATTAATTGTGAGGTTATAACGTTTCCAGAACCATGCACCCGACAATTGAGCCAACTCCTACACACTTTATTGTGTAAATGAGAAGCAGGAAACACATGGTAACAAGACAGAGGGACTGAATATGAAATGAGATGAGAATCGATCAGAATTTCCATCTCCAGCATGCTATTGATTTTTGTGTAAATTGAACTGCTGTTTTTCATTTGGTTTGAACACCTGGCTCCAGATTTCCTCGGTTCAGGCTTTTTATTTTTTTGAGTTTGACGTCCAACTCTAGCAAATGTGATCCACATATAAAACTAATATATGCTCTTTGTTTGTTTTCAAACTGTACCAATCAGATTATGAGGTAGAATTGTTTAGTCAGTCCATATCCCTGGTAATAAATCACATATCATCAAGTCATTGTGACAGTCAAATTTAAATATCTCGAAGGCTGCTGCTATCTGGCAGAGGATGCTGACTATTAGGAGAAACGGTGCTACAGGGATAATTGTTTCTGTTGTACGGCAATTAATGGACATTATAATTAATTATAGACCAATAATGTCCTGCAAAACAGCCTCAGGGCAGTATTGTGGACATAAACTACCACTGGGTGACAATTAACCAATACACTTGATAATTGCAACAGTTACTTCTGCCAATATTATGCTTAGCTGCAATACATGAGGAGATTTAGTGCAAAGTGATTCATTTGAGTCAACAAACTTTACGGTGAGCCAGTGCAAGCAGGTTTATGTGCTTTGGCAGACTCTCATGTCGTTAAGAAAACAAAAGTTAAGAGATTAAAAGATGCTGGAATATTTTCCAAAAACTTGAAAAGGTACATTAGAAATGGTCACTCTGGTCATTTTTACTTTTCTTCAAAGACGGATAAACAAAGACAACAAAAAGCTAATTAGACAGATGAATGTAATAATCTACTCACCACGTAAGAGCAGAGGGTGGGACGCCATCAACGAGGAAACGAGCATCGATTCATTAAGAGCGTCCAGGACAGACGCTGCTGTTCAGTAACACCAGAAAGTGCGAGTGCACTCATATTAGGACAGACCAGGAAGTGAGGAAGCAATGCCACCCCTCACCTGGTACTTGTGTCTCTCTCTCTGTGACCTTTTACAAGGGATGCGACGTGTGACCCACTGCAAAGGTAGGCTTCCCCCCACCCCGCCCACTCCCCCAATACCCCCCCCCCGCCCCCCCCGCCCCCTGAAAAATGCAAATGA